TTCCATTCCGGCAAAGCAGGCCGCGCATACGCAGTTTGGCACCCCCAGAGCGGAGCGGAAAATGAAAACGGTCTACTAAAACTCTCTAATAAATGAAAATGATCCTTGCGCAAAGCATTTTTTATATATTTTTGTGAAGGACATCTGGACATCCGCCCAACACTTCACTTCCGCTAGTTGCAGCAGTTTCAGTACTTTTGGGGCGTTTTGATGCAGTTTGTTGTCGTATGTCGTGTCGGTGTCGAGAAGAGCGGTGGGGCTTGGGAGTTTGTGACCGGTGTTATTCGTGAACACTGGTGTGGGGCGCTGATGCGTCTTTTTTTTTATACTGCCACCACCCCGAACTTTGAAGATACACGGGCACGTAGCAGTGCATTATGCTGAATCGCGAGCTCCTTCTCTGTTGACGTCGCTTTCCTGGTACCACTCGTGGATACTGCAAGCGTTTAAACAGTGTGCACCGTCTCGCCTACATCCCCGGTGACGTACTCGACCTGTTGAAACTTATTGCTTCCGTCATTTTAGAGTACGCAAGGCAGTTATCTCGCTGGTCTGGTTTAGGTTATAAAAGCAAGGCAAAACGCTCGTATAGTTCCCGTCCTCAGTACACGTTGGACATCTTACACACTTTGACACCGGATAACTGAATGAACGAGGATTTACATTCACTTCCGAGGTTACTCTCGCCGCTTCCTCACCGTTGAGCAGCAGGATGAGCTGGCGACAAGCCGCGGATGAAAGGCTTGAGCATCAACAGCCCAAGCGCACTCGGTGCCGATGCGGGCGACGCGGGTTTCTGTCAACCGGGAGGCCAGCACAAACCGTGACCGTTCCAGCTCTTCGTCATGACACGGTGTTGCAGAGAGCAGGGTAAAATACAGCTACACGGATCACCGAAGCAAACGACTGCTATCTTAAATCTTGGCTTGTGATTGCGCCTTTGTAGTAGATCATCTTATTCGTTTTGCTGGAGAGACGCAAACGACGGGCATAACAAAATCGCTTGCATATTCCGCATATCTCACAAAAGCATTTACCCTGTCACCTTGCGAAAAGCGCGAAACACGGAGTCCGCACCGTCCCTTCCCGTTTTTTACCTTCTTTAGAGCAGTTTGTACCTGCTAGTAGATATGCCTACTGAAACTGAAACAGGGCACTGCCAGAGAGAAAGAGATAAAGTTGGGAAAGCTTGCTCGCTCTCCAATTTCTCAACTCTCAAGTGATTGTACCCTAATAAATGCACCAACGCGTCTTCCAAAATAAAGAAAGAACACTACGTTCACAACATGAAAAATGGTCTCAGTACATGCATCTGTGGGCAGGTAGGAAACCTTGCCCTAATTTATTCACGCCGCATGATTGGCGCAACAAACTCGTTGCAGGACCGAATCATCTACTCGAGCGGTGTGCGTCGCTATGCAAACGCAGTTTAACACGAAGCATAAAAAACGGCAGATTTAAGACAACAATCCGGAGTCCATTATTCAATTAAAACAACGTAATTTTGTTGTAAACGCCCGCTGCTTCTTACTCACGGTATGTGTCGGGATACTTCCACAGTTTGAAACGGAACGAAGGAAGATTTACTTTTAAAAACACTCGCTGCGTCCTCCCGGACCCGCTGGACCGGATCAGCTGACGACGACGGGACTGTACCCGTTGAACCTCCACCACGCAACAAACAATTTGCGCTCCGTGTTAAAAGCGTGGTTCAAACAGACCCGGAATACAAAGCACCGCACCACACACGACGAATGTTTCAGCTCTTTTTCGCATCGCCGGGTTGCACCAAACAGAACGAGATCGCCGAAGACAACGCCGCGCTGTCGTGAACCTTGGCTTGTGGTTGCGAACTCGTTGACCCTGTGACTCCCTTCGCTTTCAAAGCACACACGACGATTACGAATGCTACTTTCCGTCTTCCAGGAACATCACAGGGGCACTTCTCCGGTCACGTCTTCACTATGTGCTCGCAAACTCCGAAGCTCTATGCGAAGCTTCTCGCGTCCCGTCAAACCAAAACAGTAGCGGCGCCATGCGTACTTGCCAGATTTTCTCCGGTCAAACAAAAACAACGAAAGCCAACCGGCGCTTGCTTCCAGCGTACATCGGCGTTGCGCTTGCGCCGTAGCCAGATCGCTTGCAGTTGAAGGGGTTGAAGGTTGAAGCAAAAACGAAACCAACTGCAATGTCACGTGTTCACATCGAGGACACGCTTTTTATATCAATTTTAACTGTTTAGAACGAATAATTAGACCCATGACTTTATTTGTGGTGTCTAAGAAACTGTTATCAGGACCCCTAAACTAAATACAAACATGGGCGATATGAGGGAAGCCGCATTGCCATCGACCAGAAGATGGCGGCGAGCACGGTAAGCGCGGGTTTCGCCAACGTGCTGCGACATGGCGCAATTGCTTTTGGTGCATATCTGTCTCCGAGACATGTTTCTTTCCGCGGAATTTGTCTCGACGGTCCTTTCTAAGTGTGTCCCCAAGCATTCCGGTGCTTCGATAGCCGGCAATGCCGCGGTCGTCGCCGGAGGCGATGCGTGTTGTCGAGGTCGGCTACACGGTTATGCGTGTATGACCGAACCAAAACACGTATTTTACAACCTCGCATGATTTCTGAACGAATTATCCGTTACTCATCGTGTAAATTTATGGTAATTTGTGTAAATAGCGTGTTTTTCACCCCAAATATTCGCCAAATACACGGGACTTGCTAACAGTGCAGTCCTCTAGGGATATTATCTGCCTAAATAACTTGATGACATTGGCGTATTGCTTGATTTCTGAATGTACAACACATGAGCTAAGGTCGTTTATGAAAATATTCAAAAGAATCGGCTCAAGAATGGACCCCTGGGGAACACCAGAGAGGAGGGTGACAAAAAGCTGAAAGAGATGACGAAGGATACGTACACGGTTGTGTCTATCGGACAAATAATTGTGAAGCAATGTACATAGAGTAGTACTCATTCCGTACGATTTCAGCTTTTGTAGAAGTAGCGAGTGGTCAACCAAATCAAATGCCTTAGACATATTAAAATATACAGGTTCAACCTGACCCCGCTGACACACAATAGGCGAAACGAAATTAAGAAAGGACACCAAGTTTGATTCCACTGATCTTCCGCGCACAAAACCATGTTGTGAGGGGAGGATCTTGTGTTTGAAAAAGCTCGAAATATGTTCCGAAAGTACTATTTTGTAGACCTTTGCAAATGGACTTAATAATGAAATCGGTCTATAGTTTTTGGGATTATCTAAATTTCTTGTGTATCGGCACGGTTATCGCGTTTTTCCAAATCGAAGGAAAAGTGCAAGTCGACACAATATGTCTTTGAAAGAAGCAAAACGAGGAGGTCATTCATTTTTTGTTGAAAATAATAGCGTTTGATTACACACTAGTTAGATCATATTGGATGAAACGTTAATTCGTGTAATCTGAAAAGGGTACGGTAAAAAGGGAGGTGGGTCTTGATGGAGCCATCCAACCGCATAATGAAGATACGTTGACCTTTGCAGCTTTGGGCCTTTCTTCATTTTAGCTTTATCGATGCATTACAGTGAAACAAATTTTATGCAATGTTGATTCTTTACGTCGGAGACGTATTTCCCAGCATATAATTTTTTTGTCCACTTCGTTTTCATGGGTAGAATATTTAGAACATTGGGTTAGGATGATTCTGTTCGCAAAGATCAACGAAAAGATCGTCGACCTTTTTCGTAATTTGGCTTCTCTTCTACTCTGCATGCACCGCTGCAATACAGTGAAGCCCTGGAGAAAAGCAAATCTGCAGTATGTATTGCTCATGGTGACGTCGTTCTTCTAACGATAAAGACACCTATGTGTTTTCTTCGATTTTTTTTGTTAGATTGCTAGATTGCTTGGTTCGTAAAAGTGAACAAAAATGTCATCGATCTTTTTCGCAGTCAGGCTTGTTCTGCGTACGTTGCTGCAGTGCGGCGTAGGCCTCATACGAAATATTCGTGCTGCTTATGTCGACGGCGTCCATATCACGATAAAAACGCTTTTGTGGATTTTTCTTTTTTTTTTTTTTGGTGGTGAGGTTTTGTGAGGTTGTTCGGTTCGTAAGCATGCGCTTTACAACTATTCCAATTAATTTAAAAACCTTCTATTTCTTTTTTTATGTCTTAGTTGGCTTGTGAGCTCGACGGCTATTTTGGATATCTAGAGTTTCTCAGGCTCTGCTCCGAGTTGAAGGGAAGAACCAGAACTGGAAATGAAAACTTCCTTCAAGTCAACACAGTTTTGGTTTTTATTAGTCTGTGGTTGATGTTGATTTGTCAAGCTTGTGCTCTTTCAAAACAACGAACTGGACAATCTTTATAGTTGATTGGTGGGCATTGTCTTAGTAAAATATTTTGAGTTGCCTTATTTTTTAACAATTTCGTGGTGTAATAATTCCAAACAGGCTTCTATGAAACCAACATTGGAGCAAAAAGAAAAGGAAAAAAAATATAAACCGTCTGTCATTCGCTTTGATAACTAATATTAGGAAACGCCTGTAGAGTTTTTCAACCTCTCTTGTGAGCCTCTGATTGGCCGTGAAAAGGTGTCTTTAACTGGGGTGAAGACGAACTTTGTGGTAGTCAACAACATTGTGTCAACAAAACAAACAAAAGCCTCGCGAAACCCAATATAGACTGCCCTTCAAATAGTTCTTATGCCTATTTCAATTAAGAAAAGATTACCCCATTCGTCTCCCCTGCCTGAAGGAAAAGTGTTCCGATTTTATATTTTGGAGACATAGATCGCAAGACCTGTCTCCAAACCATAAAATCTTCACTGGATCACCCTCAGAGTTGATTGGACTGCACTGGGTATGAAGTACGATAATATTCTTGACGATGTATTTTTTCTTCAAATTGTGTGATGTAATTGGTTTTCGCAAAGATATATTAAAAAGAAACTATAATTTAAATTTGGCGGCAGCGACATCCCGTTACAAAGGCGTCTTTCCGACTTCTCAGGGCGATGGAGCAGGAGCTGCAGCAGAAAGCCGCCCAGCAAGCGGCGCAGCAGGCGGCGCAGCAGGCGGCCCAACAAGCCGCCCAGCAAGCCGCGCAACAAGCCGCCCAACAGGCCGCGCAGCAAGCCGCCCACCAAGCCGCTCAGCAAGCCGCCCAACAAGCCGCCCAGCAGCAGGCAGTTCAACAAGCCGTACACCAGGTGGCCGCACCGCCGCAGCAGCTGCAGCAGCAGGCGCAGCCGCCGCCGCACTCGTGGTCCCCAAAGGGTGGAGCGCCTTCCCCAGACGGTCCCCAGAATTCCCTAGGATGCCCCACCCCTTCAGGGGCTGAGGAAAGAGAGGCGTCTCCCGAAGGCGTTCCCTGCGAGGGCCCCGCCCCGTCGGAGGCCCCGCCCCCGGCGAGCTCCCCGTCGGGCCCTCAGGGCCCCACTCCGGTGGCCGTGACCAGCTTCGCGCCGGGCGAAGAGCACAGCCCGGCGAGCATCAGTAGCCTCAAGGCCCTGAACCCCGCGGACGCCCTGCCCCCCGCACAGGGCGATGACAAGGAGCTGCTGTATCAGTCGCTCGGTTCGTCCACCATCATGGTCAGCACGTACGGCGCGGCGCAGTACGCCCAGGGCTACTCCAGCTCGCCGTACCCCAACAGCCGCCCCGAGCACGTCTACGTGAAGGCCGGCGGAGGCCTGAGCCCGCCGCCGGCGTACGGGCACCAGGGCGCCGAGCTGAGCGGGGGCTCGCCGCCGCCCATGTACTCGTCGTCGCTGATGTACGTGCCGCAGACCCAGGGCCAGGCCTGGCAGCAGGGACTGGAGCAGGGCCACAACGGCTACGCGCTGCAGCCGGCCGCTCTGAGTCCCGGCTCGGCGGCGCTCGTCGAGTCCGACGCGAGGGCCGCCAACGGCTTCGCGGGCTTCCCGACCCAGTACGTGCGCTCGGACATGCCGTGGTCCGTGTACGACAACAGCTCCACGCTGGCCGTGCAGCAGCACGCCTACACGGACTCCATGGGACGGATACTCTCGCCCGGTGAGCTTCTCGCCCCGCCGATGCCCGCCTCCGCTTGTCTTATCGGCGCCGGGAGGTCTTATCGGACGGATGGCGCGCAGGCGCGCTTGATTGCGCGCGCGCGCGTTCTGTGGGCACGCACGGTCTTCCAGTGTTTGCTTTAGCAATGAGGCTGCGTTGCAGCGTCACTTCCGTCCGCGGAGTTCTTTCCGTCGGGACCGAACCTCGTGTCGGATAATCACGTTTCGCGATACATTTTTTTGCACATCTATAGCACAGAGGGCATCGATAAAACAATATAAACAACTAAGATACAGCTTTATATTTGTTTTTTTACAAAGTGTCGTACTGCACGGACCCGCGTATAGCCTGTTTTGAGGAGCCTAGAAACGACGGCACTGTTTTCGTGGCTCGTCCTGGAAAGAGCTGTTCCGTTAATTTTGAGGGGAACACGTGACATCTAGGAAAGGGGGGGGGGGGGGGGGGGGGCAGGCGTTTGCATACAAAGAGGCGATATACTGTTAAGGGGGACATTTTTTCATCGGAGACAAATTAACAACCGCGTATACGCCTCTATCGACCATCTCTCTTCAATCATCCTTTCGCACAATGCAACCGAGGCGAGTCAACCTCAAGATATATACTTGCGATCGGGTAGTTCGTGCACTCCAGTTCAGAAAAAAAGCTAAACGAAAAATCTCGTAATGGGCATCTTCATGAAAATGTTTGTGAACAAATAGGTCCAAGAACGTGCACGGTCGCGTATTAGTTCACCTGTGAAAGGATTACTGCTCCGACAACTAAGTGGGTCGTATAAGCGCTGATGAATATCGCCTTATCGGATGACCCGGCACATGACACGTATGCGCTGGTTTTCGCTCATGCGCTCCCGCAACCTTTAAGGCATGTGAGACGCGCATGTAAGCATAGGTATCCCTTAGCTTCTCCAGGTGGAACACTTTTCTTCATGAGACAGTCAGCTTCTTTGGGGTCATAGCACCACAAGACAGAGTAAGTGTTCCTAATGCCCGGTTAGCAATTTAAACTAATACCTTGAGAGACTCGTCCGTGGGCTGCATGTTTTCAGGGGCTTGGCCCTCCCTTCTGTTAGGTGAGCGTCGAAAAGTTTATTTTTTTAATGTCTAACATTTATCTAAATATAGCTATCCGGATGTCTTTTTTTTTTTTTTGCCTAAAACGGTCACCATTAATTGGTTGAACAACTGCCTCATAGTGTATGCGCCAAGAAACTGAAGGAGAGGAAGGTACGTCAGAATGGCGAGCTCTGACCGGAATGATTAGGGGGTAGACCTAAAGCTATATAGCTGCCTTTGTCCCTACCGCACACTCGCCGAACACGTTCCCATGCGAACGCCGGACGCCGGTGTTCCGCGTTCCAACGCGTTCGACAAGTGCAATGGAGGCAAAGGCTGCCCTCGTCTCGACTGCGCTCGTCGAGCCCGTTCGAATGCGAAGGCCAAACGCCGGTGTTCCGCGTTCGACGAGATGCGGTGCACACAAATCAAAACAAATCCAATCAGAGCTCGGCCTTCTGACGTCCCTTCCTCTCCCTCAGTCTTTCGGCTCATAGCCATCCGGCGCACGAATGTAGCCTTCAAGATTTTTTGGAATGAACTTACTGAGCCTATCCATATTCCTCGTTATAGTTACTCGCTCTTTATACTTACAGTTTTACTCGTCTCAAAAGACACGCCATATTTCGTCGCTACGACGCGGCGTCACATACACAGGCTCATAAAGAAGGAGCAGTCGCAGAAAAGTGTTTTATCAGCCTATCGTTGCTTTGTATCTTAAAAGTATACAAAGCGCCGAAAACAACGAGAACCAAGACGAAGTATAAGACGACGCAAGTCGCCTTCTAATTACTTCGTCTTGGTCCTTGTTGCCTTCGGCGCTTTATACCTTTTAAATATTAGAGGACGGAAAGAGGTTGAGCGCGTCACTGGATAAAACGAGTGCCGAAGTTCTATGGTGATTGAGGTTCTTTGCGCTAAACCTGAACGCCGTGGGTCGCTCTTGCCACAAACGAATCAGCCGGTCCTTATTGAACTCACACCTTCAACAATTCGATGTTTGAGATCTAAAAAAATACAGTATAAAGGCAACCTTTAAAAAAAAAATTATTTAGTTATGTGCGGAATGTGTTTACGTCTTTGACAGGTGATTTGCAGTATCAATTTGAAACCTGACCCGTCCCTTTTTTAATAGCCCCCTATAAAAGATAAACCGAGCGGAAAACTCCTTGTGTTTTTTTCGCTTCGAGGCCTATACGAACTGGAAGCTGGATATGTTTAGTGATAACCACGTCTGAATTCTTCCGCTTTCAAGGAGGTTTTGTTAATCTGCCTTTAGTTGTGGGGGCCTGAGCAGCGTCGAGGAGGTAAGCAGCAACATTGTATGCAGTTTTTTTTTTCTTTACAGATTTGTCTAAAAAATGTCATGTAAGCTACACTTATGCGCGATAAAAAAATTAAATAGCGCAAAGGTTAGATAAAGGACAAAGGACAGAACATGTAGACAGGACAAGCGCTATGAATATCTTCGTACAATTTCTGTCTTCTACTATGGGCCCTTTTCCGTGTTAGCGCTTGTCCTGTCTACATGTTCTGTCCTTTGTCCTTTGTCTAACCTTTGCGCTATCTAATTTTTATATCATGCATATTCAACTGGCCCACCTCAATACTTTAGTACCCGTATGCGGTTTGTGCGAGTGAGTAATACGGCCAGGGGGACATTATGTGGGTGGCTAATCTTTGCGATAAGTACGATAATTAAGTAAAATTTGTTAATTTACTTTTTAATTAGTGAAGATAGTCTCATGGTTCCAATTAGAAATTTGCTGAGCGGCCTCCAAAACCCCTAAATCGGTAACTTTAGAAAGACTTTGGGCGTGCGAGGAGTGCAGTAGTGCGCTAAAGTTAGCACTTTTGGAGCAGGCACGATGCTGGGGCTCTGATAAGAGACGAAAAAAGTGCGCGGGCGCCTTTCCGCAACCGCTAGCCTTAAACCTGCTCCGCGAGTGGCAACTTAAATGCACTGCTACGCTTCTCACGCGCTGAAAGTCTTTCTAAAAATGACTGATTGAGTGGTTTTCGATCACGCTCAGGCATGTTTCCAATTAAAACCATGTCTATTTTCACTAATTAAAAAGTTAATTTAAAAAATTTAATTAATTAACCGACTTATCGCAAAGATTAGCCACCCACATAATGTCCCCCTGGACGTATAACCCACTCGCACAAAGCGCATAAGTGTAGCTTTTATAACTTTTTTTAAACAAATCTGCAAAAAAAAAAAAAAAAACTGTATAGTATATGCATACAATGGGTCTCCCTGTGTTGCTCTCCATAAATTAGGAATTTTTATCACATGTGGCAGTTGCCTTCTCTTTCGCATGATTCAGATGCTGCCTCGGGCGAGAAAGCAACTGCAGCTACGCCTAAAATTTCAAATTTATGGACAAAGTTGATCTCAAAAAGCAAAACCCAAAAGATACGTTCATAATAAAAACGGAGAAGCAGTAAAAAGAACAACATTCATAAAAAAATGAGGCGCGAACTTACAGAAAGCGTTTCACCGAAACATCATCCAAACTTTTGCTGCGAAAACTATACGCATTGCAGAGAAGAAAGATTGATGCCGTATTAGACACTGCCGAGGGCCCAATTCAGTGAAGTATGCTTACCGCTTCGGATGATTATGACTTTAATTCATTCTGCATACTTGAACTTTTTGGTTAGTAAAAATAATCCTTATATTCCAGTTAGAAAACTTTATGAGCGGCATCGAAACCACTATAGATCAGTAGATTTTAGAAGGACTTAAAGCGCGCGTAAAGCTATAGGAGCGCAAAAGCTATACTGATTGTTCGACGCGAAAGTCTGCTGCTGCGAAAATGCGGATGATAAGCAAGAATGAAGGTAGATGGACTTGCGGTACTTAGAAATAAACAATGCCCACCTTCTAATTAGTTCTAAATTTGTTTGATTTAGTCGTCTCGATTACGCCCATCAAGTGTCTAATCAAAACGATCTGTTTTCCTTTTCCCAATTTTTTTTTTAATTTATTAAAAATACTTCTAAATGCCGTCCAAGGGAGGGTATATATTACATAAAAGCGGAGTATATACTTGCCAGCAAAACAAATTATAGGACAAGCTACAGCGATGAATAAGGCAAATATGAGTAAAATACAGATCAGTAGACAAGAAGAAAACAACAACAACAACCGATGTTGTTGTGGCTGCACGTGTGTTCATGAATCTTTGTTACATCATCCTCGGTGACTATGTGTGTTGGCAACTTATTCCAATCGATTATTTTTCGTGGTATAAATGACTGTCCATAAAAATTAGAGTAGCATCAGGCCACTCTTAATGATTAGCGATGTCGTGATCACACATATAAAGTTAAACGCATCACATGTCTCTGGTATGTGATGCGTTTAACTTTATATGATTGATCACGACGTTGCCTATAATTTTCGCTAATTAATAGTTAGTTGCGCGCGAAATTGTAACTAAATAAAACAATTACCGAAACAACATGTACTTAAATAAATAGGATGACAGTGATTTAACCATCCTATATATTTCTGTTGGAAGCGCAGTTTTTACGCGAAAGGTTGGTACGATATTCGGCGGAACACCCGATTCATCTTATGAATCGGATATGATGTTGGTAAATATTTTTTTATATATTAAATATATTAAAAAAATAATATATTCGTCGCGATCACGGAGAAATCGTTTGCATACAATGGATGATCTTTTTAACGTGTATTCTTCCGATAATCTTTAGTGCACTGAAGAGCCATGTGTTGTTGGCGCACAAACATATATGCAAATACAGAATCATCGTGGAGCGTTCTGATAACGATACCCGATTTTCCGCCAGCGCCTTTGTGCATGCTTTGTGTCGTTATCAATATCGTTATCAGAGCTAGTGGGACGATCTACTAAAGCTCTCTAATAGACACATGCATGCATAAGGGAACAGGAA